CCCCCCCCCCCCCCAGTTTAGGAGATGGTCTGTCCTCTATGTCTAGATTGTGAATGAATGTCTGTGATCAGTGACTTGTCAGCCGCTGATGACAGCTCTTCGTATACTCAGAAGAGTCTGGGGGACCTCCTGTGATAACTTCATGGCCACTGAAGTGACTTTGAGCTTATAACAAAAGGGAGAATTCAGCCGAGGTGAGACTTACTGCCCTGGCCAGCTGGAAGAGGTTCTGTTCCACCGCATGCCTCACATCTGTGGCAGTGAAAGGGTTAAAGTCCACATTGAAGGTAAGTGTGCCATGCATGTAGGAGAGGACAAAGAGGGTACACAGGCAGCCAATGACACACTGGGGGGAATCTACTTGGGGGGAATCTACTGGATGACATCTAACGGATGTCATCCAGGGGTAGCTATAGGTGACAGATGGTAGAGAAGGGGCACTGAGGACATATGGCAGGCAGGGTGGTGAGGCTGGCACTGAGGAGGGGGGAATGGAATGATTTGTGATAAAGGATCACTATGACCATTGAAATCCATTATTGTGTCGTCCAATGTTGTTCTGGGGAATAGAAGGGGTAGAGGTTGGGTATGGGTCTGGTGGTAATTGGGGCAGCTTCCCTCTCAATTACCCCAGTCATGCCTAATGATAGTAGAGGTAGGGTGGAATGTAAGGAAGAACAGACAGCCCCCATGCACACCCGCCAGTCTCTAGGCGCAGACCTAGGTCACCTTGTGGGTAATCCGGCTCTGTCTGTATGACTTGTCTTATTACAGCCAAATACATCACCTTTGTGTTCCTTTGTCTGTGAAATGTGCTAATGATATGAAGGGAAATTCCCGACACAACGTTTCCACAGATTATTAAATGACCTTTATTCTTCCTCAGATATGGCGATTATTGTCAGGAATCCTCCCACGTATTATCTGTGTCCTCTGTATAAGGATTCCTATGAATACGAGTCTCAGCCTCGCCCTGTGTAGGAGTGTACAGAACCCGTCACACTGGTTAAGAAGTGTCAGAGACTTTCACTGTCATTTCTCTTCTGCTGTCAGCGATGGCGTCTGGTAATCTGAGAGCTGAGCTGGAATGTTCCGTCTGTCTGAACATTTATACAGATCCTGTAACCCTGAGATGTGGACACAACTTCTGCCGGGATTGTATTGGTCGTGTGCTGGATACACAGGAGGGGTCTGGAGGTTATTCCTGTCCTGAATGCAGAGAGAAGTTCCAGAAGAGTTCTGCACTGCACAGGAACATAAAACTGCGTAACATTGTGGAGAATTTCCTGTCTGCTCAGCCAGATCAGGAGGAGTCCGGAGTCCTCTGTACTTACTGTATTCACGCTCCTGTACCTGCTGTGAAATCCTGTCTGCTGTGTGAAGCTTCTCTGTGTGACAACCACCTGAGAGTCCACAGCAAGTCACCAGAACATGTCTTATGTGACCCCACCACTTCCCTGGAGAACATGAAATGCTCCATCCATAAGAAGATCCTGGAGTATTACTGCACTGAGGACTCTGCCTGTATCTGTGTGTCCTGCATTCTGGATGGAGAACATCGGGGACATCATGTGGAGAGTCTGGATGAGGCCTCTGAGAAGAAGAAGGAGACACTGAGGAATATTCTGCAGAATCTGATGACAGAGAGAGAGGAGACGGAGAAAAGAGTCCAGAGTCTGGAGGAACACAGGAGGAAAGTACAAGGACAAGCAGCCGGTGAAACAGAGAGAGTCACTGCCCTGCTCAGAGACCTCAGGAGACGTCTGGAGGACCTGGAGAAGAGAGTCCTGAGTGACATCTCCGGGCAGGCAGAGCGGACCTCCCTCTACGTGACGGATATGATCCGGGAGCTGGAAATAAAGAAGGAGGAGCTGTCCAGGAAGATGCGTCACATTGAGGAGCTGTGTAACATGATGGATCCACTGACTGTCTTACAGGAATCAGACACAGGTGACTTGTGTGATACTGAGGATGGAGATGATGGAAACAGAGTGAGATATGATAAACTCCTCCATGATGGAGGGGATCTGGATGTGGCTGGGATCTCACACACATTACACACAGGTATATCTGATATCATGTCTGGGGTAAATGTACAGGAAGGTCCAGGCACACATGTCTATCCACATTCTAGTACAAAGAGCAAAGGTCACATCACTGCTGAACCATCCAGGCCACGTATCCAACCCACCCTCAACACTCACACCTCCAGGCTGGAGGATCAAATATTGGAGCTGTACAGCAAACATCGGGGGTGTCGGGGGTTACAGACATATTACTGGATGAGAACACAGCTGGTAATTATCTACATATATCAGATGACAGGCACCCTGCAACCAGATCACATTCATCCAGTAACTCCAGAATTAGAAATTGATGGCCGTGCGGGGTCCCAGGTGGCCAGTGTGGGCTCTCAGGTGGTCAGTGTGTAATATGACAAATTGGGGCTTTTTAGATGCATATATCCTTATAAAAACTAACAGGGTTATTCACAAAAAAGTGAAGAGTTTGGAGAAGGCAGGAGAAGTGAACAATCTAGGCCAAAATAGCTGATTTGGAAAAATTCTCCAATTCAGCTCACTTTCCAGTTCAGCTATGTTGTCCTAGACCAGGGGTAGGCAACCTTGGCTCTCCAGCTGTGCTGAAACTACAAATCCCATCATGCTTCTGCCTCTGGAAGTCATGCCTGTGGCGTGCAATGCCTTATGGGATTTGTAGTTTCAGCACAGCTGGAGAGCCAAGGTTGCCTACCCCTGTCCTAGATTGTTCACTTCTCCTGCCTTCTCCAAACTCTTCACCCTTTAGTGAATAACCCTGCAAATATTTACTGTTTTAGCATAAAAATACATATAACTATACACAACATGATAAAATGTGATTAAAACACTATGTAAACTACAATTGATGGAGGACACTATTTATAGCCAAGACATTCCTAATACAGGTGAAACTCGAAAAATTAGAATATTGTGCAAAAGTTCATTTATTTCACTAATGCAACTTATGCGGTGAAACTAATATATGAGACTCATTACATGCAAAGCAAGATAGTTAACGCCGTGATTTGTCATAATTGTGATGATTATGGCTTACAGCTCATGAAAACCCCAAATCCACAATCTCAGAAAATTTTTGGCAGTGTGGGAAGGTGCCAAGTCCTGCTGGAAAATGAAGTCAGCATCCCCATAGAGCTCGTCTGCGGAAGAAAGCATGAAGTGCTCCAAAATCTCCTGGTAGACGGCTAAGTTGCATTAGTGAAATAAATGAACTTATGCACCATATTCTAATTATTCCAGTTTCACCTGTATATATATATTGAAACTACAAGTTCAGAGAGTTGGTAACAGCAGATAACTTGCGTTGTTTCCACAAGCTCTTTATCCTGCTTATTTGCTTATATACCTCCTTGGTTCTCACACGTGGTCTATGCATTTCACCCCAGAGGAGGCTTCCTCAGGACCAACACTGTTCGGCTATTCACTTCAGGCTGGTACGGCTGAAATCAGCCGTACATCGGCTTGCTTCGTGTGGCTTCGGGTCGGCCGAACATGCTCAGCATGTTCGGCCGA